CTTCTGATTCCTTCTGCAGCAGCAGCAGCAGCAGCGCCACGCGCCGCTGCGGCTGCCGCCCGAAACGCCTGCGCAGCCTTCCGGGGCCTCACAAGCAGCAGCTGCAGCAGCGGCACTGCAGCGCAGCAGCAGCAGCAGCAGCAGCGAGTGAGGCGCAAGAAGGAGGACTAAACTCCCCTGCAGCAGCACCACCCTCGGCACCAACAGCTTGCTGTTGCTGCCAGAGCAGCAGCAGCAGCAGCAGCAGCAGCAGCAGCAGCAAGAAGGGGGAAATAAAGTCAGTGTTTGATTAAAGTCTGCTGCTACAGTGCTGCTGCTTTTCTTTTTTTGCTGAACAGCTAGCTGAGGTGTACGTACACCCGAACTCTCGGTGCTCGCGCGGGCAGACTAAACAAATAACAAATAAATAAGTAAATAAATGAATGAATATATTTATTTATTATTATTATTAATTAAATAATTAATTATAATTAAGTTATAAATAAATGATAAATTGTGAACAAATAAACAAGCTGCTGGCAGCATGCAGCGCCAGTTAGCTGAGAATAAAATAAATGAATTAAAATAAAGATATTGAAGTTAATTAACTCAAGAATAAAACAGATAAATTAAAGTTAAAAATATATTAAAGTTAGCTAACTTTAAAATTAAATAAATTAAAACTAAAATTTATTAACTTAAAAATAAATAAAAACTAAAAAATAAAGTTGCAACTAAAAGAACAAAACAAAAAAACTGTAGCTTCCTCAACCCCAGATGCTGGGGGCCCTCAGCTGCAGCTGCTGCACCTCTGGGGGCTCCTTTGGGGCCCCTAAACGGGACCCTTTGAGGGCCCTGTGAGCCCTTTTTAGGGGCCCATTGGGTCCTCTTTAGAGTCCCTTGGGGGCCCCTCTAGGGGCCCCCTTGGAGGGCCCCTCGGGGGCCCCTCTGAGGGCCCCCTTAGGGGCCCTTTGGAGGCCCTCTCTGGGCCTCTTAAATCAAGGCCTCCCCAGGGGGCCCCTGTGGCAGCCCGGGGGGCCCCTGGGTACCCCAGGGGGCCCCTCGGGGCCCTTGGGGGCCCCCAGGAGTACCCTGGGGGCCCCTAGGGGCCCCATGGGGCCCCCTAGGAGGCAGTTCAGGCGCTTGTGGGTTCTTTAAGGAGCTGGCAGCTAGCTGGCCCTAGTTAGCTAGCTAGCTAGCTAGCTAGCTAGCTAGCTAGCCACGGCCAGCTAGCTAGATAGCTAGCTGGCCGCGGCCAGCTAGTTAGCTGGGGCCAGAAAGCTAGAAGGGGCCCCCAGCCTGGGGGCCTTACTAGCTGCTGCTGCTGGTGCTGCTGCTGCTGCTGCAGGGGCAGCAGCATTTGGTCCAGCTCAAGCAGCGCGCGGCAGATGCAGCGAAGCAAAAAGACGAATAGCGCCTGCTGCCGCTGCTGCTGCTGCTGCTGCTGGTTTGCTGCTGCGCGCTGCGGCGTGGCGCTGCTGCGGTGTACATACACCCGAGCTGTCTATTGTTTGTTTTTAAAACTGCATTTAAATTGAATAAAAACAAAAATAAAAATAAAAAAGAACTAAATAAGTTTTACTTTAGACGTGTGCAGAGGTCCCAGCGAGCTTGGGGCTGTTCAGCGTGGCTGC